GCCTAGTAATCTCAGTGACCCTCGGTCGCTCAGCCAGTGACTGTGGCCACCTGACACCATCAGAAGATGGCGGACTTGGGGGTCAGGAGAGCCCTTCCAGGACTGCAGAAGCTGGTCCTTGGGGGTCTCGCAGCAGATCCCGGGGGCGTTCCCTGTGTGAGTGCAATGCACATGGGGGGCTCAGGACTGGAGGCCCATGCCAGCCCTGGGGCCTCCAGAGCCGGCAGAAGGCACAGCCTTGCATGGCCAAGGGTGCTGGGCTGCGTGGAGAATATGCGGGTCTGTTGTCCTGCCAGCTTAAGCGGTTTATCAAACCAAACACAAAAAGGATGTGCAACAGGGACAGCATGTGGCCCAGGAGGCCTCAGATATTGACTCTGGCCCTTCACAGAACACGTGTTCTAGAAAGGAAATCCTACTGGGGGCTTGCTGGGTGGGGAGAGGGGTTTAGAACGTGGTTTGTCACTTCCTGTGAGGGTGACCCCACAGGACTTTGTGGACACGGTGGCGTTTAAGTGGTCCAAGAAGAACTGGAAGGATTTAGAGGAGCAGAGGGACCCGCCCCGGTGGGTGGAAGTCATGGCTGGGTGTCGCAGGCTCTGCGTGGCTCTGAGGGCGGCTCCAACTCAGGCAGGCGTGCCCCATGTTTAACGGCCATTGAGTCTGCAAGTTATAAACTTGGTTACCCCCAGAACGTTGTTAAACAGTACCCTGTTCTAGAACATGCTGAGATAGCATTTATGCAAGGGATGCCAGGGTGTGGAACGGATTAGTCCGGCTTTTTCCTCAACAGTCCAGGAGGGGGACAGGGAGAAGGCAGCATCGCTCCTAAGCGGGTGAAGCCAATTTCATCCTGAGTGACGGTGACAGTAATAACTGATAAGAAATGAAATCACAGCTTTTCACACGCAGAGTCTGACAAATGGCTGACCCTTCTTCCTCCGTCTCTGGGTGCTCACGCTGGAGAGCGAGGGGCCCGCCCTCCACTCCTGGGTGCACGTGCTGGAGAGTGACAGGCCCTCCTTCCAATCATTGTTGCTTCTGCTGGAGAGCAAGGGCCCTGCCTCCACTCCTGGGTGCGCGTGCTGGAGAGTGACAGGCCCACCTTCCAATCATTGTTGCTTCTGCTGGAGAGCAAGGGCCCTGCCTCCATTCCTGGGTGCACGTGCTGGAGAGTGACAGGTCCTCCTTCCAATCATTGTTGCTTCTGCTGGAGCGCAAGGGGCCCGCCCTCCACTTCTGGGTGCACGTGCTGGAGAGTGACCCCCCCGCCCCCCCACTCCTCTTGCTCCTGCTGGAGAGTGACAGGCCCTCCCTCCAATCCTCGGTGCTTCTGCTTGAGAGCGACGGGCTCTCCCTCCACTCAGGGTGCGTGCTGGAGAGTGACAGGTCCTCCCTCCATCCCTAGGTGCTCATGCTGGAGCCTGAAGGGCCCTCTGTCCGCTCCTCGGTGCACGTGCTGGAGAGTAGCAGGCGCTCAGCCTTCTTAGGGCGTTTGGGACCCCATCCAGCGTGGTTTTGCTCTAGTTCCCTGCCTGGGGAGAGGAGCTCAACAAGCAGCACTGGGTTTATTCTTGCTCATTTATTCAAAAGAAAGCTACTGAGTTTGAAAATGCACCAAGCACTGGAGAGAAAAGGTGAGAGGACCTCGGGGCCGCCTGTAAGAGGCTCAGGATGTGGCTGGGGGTGAGGCCCGGTGGCAACTCCAACGCAGGAGATGAGGGGTCTGGATCCCACCGTCGGAGCACCCACGCAACCTGTCCACACCCTCAGAACGGCAGAAAAGGTCCATTGTATTCTTGTATTTCTTTCTAAGTTGAATTAAATCCATCTCTAGTCCCTGCCTTGGAACTGATGGAGCCTGGCTGTTACTGGGCCTCCCCACCTACAAGGGATGGAACCAGAGCTCGGGGCTGAGGCGCTGCTGGAGTGTTTAGTGCCTCTGCTATCAGGACATCCTGTGGCCACTGGCACGCTGTCTGCCCACACAGTGCCCCCAACCAGCAGCACAGCCACCCTCTCTCCACAGCCAGGGCTGGGAGCCCTGGGGCCCGACTCCCCGGTCCCACATGCCTCACAAGGCAGGACATTCTGGGTCCTGTCGCATCCCCGGAATCAGGGCCTGGACCCTGGTCAGAGCAGGACCTGCAGACGACTCCGGGTGGGGCAGACTGTCTTCTGTCCTTGGTGGCAAAGCCGGTGTTCTTGGCGTCATGTCTGCACGTATGTGTCTGAAGCCACGGGAACGCAGGGGCTACCTCCGGGCCTGCACCTGTGGAGCAGGATTGGGGAGGACACACGGGTGGGCGTCTCAAGAACTGTTGTGACCCAGCGGAGCCCCTGCAGCTCTGCTCTGTTGGGCCTTGCCCTCGGTGCTGGGTGCAACGTGTGACAGGATGGCACGGGAAGCTTCCCAAGAACGCTGGAACTGGGCGTTTGAAGACCTCATGGCGGCAGCTCCAGCCCAAACGCTGCAACTACGGGGCTGTGCCAGGAGCAGGTGCCACGGAGCCTGTGTGGGTCCAGGGCGAGAGGTAAGGGGAGTATGGACGGGGCTGTGCATTCCTGGGGTTGAAGGCAGGCTTCAGGGGGTGACACTGAATAGGGACTGGGAAGGTGCATGCCAGGAGGGGTCCAGGCAGAGACAACAGGTGGGGGCATGATCCTCAAGGGGAGGCAGAAGAGGCTGGCAGTGTAAGGCAGGACAGCGATGCCCACGGGCTCCAATGCCTGCTGCGCAATCGGAATTTTGTCTGTGGCCTCAGGCGTCTGACATGCATTCTCACACCTGCATGAGCACCAGGAGCCCCTGGAGGGCTGTGCAGACGACACTGTTGGGCCGGCCCAGGCCCCAGCAGTTCTGACTCCTCTGTGATCAGAGGGTGGGGTTAAGGATGTGCATTTTTGACAAGTTCCCAGGAGACCCTGGCACTGCTGCTTTGGAGACCCCACTTTGAGGACCACTGATCTAACACTGCCCTCGTGGCAAACGCGGAATGACTCCAAGATTCAGCTGGATGGATCATTCAGGGAGGAAATTCACCTTTGCCACCGGGCACACCCTGGCCGTTCAGTAACCATGGCCATCAGGGTTACTGACTTTTTCATTCTCCACTGCATTCCAGCGTGGGCATTTCCACAGTAGCGAGCCCATCATCAACTCAGCGACGTTCCCATTTTCCAGTTAGAAAATAAGCTTTCTGATGGTTACCCATCCACTGTACTTGGCTCTAGAAAAGATTTCAGGGATGTGTAATTTATGACATAAAGAAAAGCTGAGTGTAAACTAGTTACGTTACAATTGTCCCAGACATTATAGACACTCACAGCATCGTCTTCCTCCTCTAGCAAAACAAAACAAAAAATTCTGCAATCATATAGGCAGTAGGAAAAAAAAAATCAGCAGGACACCATGGCTCACACCTGTAACCCCAGCACTTTGGGAGGCCGAGGTGGGAGGATCACTTCAGGCCAGGAGTTAGAGACTGGCCTGGCAACATAATGAGATCCCCATCTTTATAAAATTAAAACAATCTGGGCATGGCGGAGCACACTTGTGGTCCTAGCTATTCAGGAGGCTGGGGCGGGGGGGATCGTTTGATTGCAGGAGGTCGAGGCTGCAGTGAACCATGTTTGCACCACTGCACTTCAGCCTGGATGACAGAGTAAGACCCTGTCTCAAAAAAAAATCAGGCAAGAACTGAGGCAATGATGCTGTCACCGGGTCTGGCCTCATGCCAGCAGCAATGGCTGGGAGTGCGGTTCAGAGGGAGGGTGGGTTTAGGCTTACCGGCTTACCAGGGAACCTTGTCTCTGTTTCTGATTTGCTGGGCTCATGTCTAGTTGGAGCCTGAGCACTGTTGTCTGCTTTTATGCACAACTGGCTGGGGACAGCTCTGAGCCACGGGCCTAGAAAGGACAGGCTCCATAATCCACTGGCAAACCCCGCAAGATGCCTGCAGTGAGGTGCCAGGTTTGAGCGGAGGAAGAGCCTTGCATCTCATCCCTGAAGTCAGATTTGAAGGAAGACCCTCAAGGTGAAGGGCTTCTAATTACATCTTCAGCTTTCTGGGCTTTATTATAACAATAGTTTCATTTTTCTTGTTGAAGAGAAAGATTTTGAAACCGCCTTGGTGTCCAGCTGTCCTTTTGGCTGTCTCACCTCTTTTTTCTTTTAATGCCTAAGACTGTCTGGTAGATGCTGTGTTTCTCTGTTTCTACTCCATTACAAAAATTAACAGAAATATGGCTTCGCTTTGTATAGATGTTTATATCACAGTCTTTAAAATGAATTATAATTAAAACTATCCACAAAGCTAGATGTTTAGAGAACCCTCGTCAGAGTTCTTTCGTAATGTGAAGAAATTTTCAGGTACTTTCAGTTCTTCAAAAGCAGGAATAACTGTGAATGTGAAGGCAAAAGGCCTTTCAGGCCTGTAAGCCACGTGTCTGGCTTCAAAACTGCCCCAGCCCCTGCCCGCCTGCATTTTACGTGCTCTTCCTTTGCTTGCTTATGCGTTGTGGTTCCTGTTCCACTCAGCTCACGCTCCACCTGGACGTATAAACTCTGGGAGAAACGGCGACGGCCTCTCCTCCACCACCAGGCTGGCAGGGGTGTCTGGCTGGCATCAGGCCGGAGGAGAATCAGATGGGTAAGACCAACGCACTTAGTTTTGGGTGTGTGGGGAGGGTGAGAGGAGCATGAGCGGCGATCTGTGGGGGTGTCTTCCCTGTTGCAAATCCCCCTGCACGTGCAGGTGCATGGCGAGAGGGTCTCTATACCTCCCAGCTTTTCTCTGAGGATGTCCAGAATGAATGAGCAAAGCAGGATGGCCTCCAGAACAAAGGCCCTGAGGCTGACTCCAGATTTCCTGTGTCTACGAGCTGTGTTCTCCCAGCACGCCTGCCCCTTGCGTTCATGAACAGGGGCCGAGCTGCAGGGACTGTGTGGCAGTCTTGGGCTGGGCCATGGCTTGGAACCAGGAAGACACGCAGCCAGACACCAGTGAAGCAGCTGTTTTATTGAGTCCGTGTCACATTAATACATTAGCTTCATGGACACAGTTTCAAAGACCCGAGTCATTCTGACATAGTATGCTGGAGGCAGCTAGGCCAGCTTGAGGCACTGCGTGTTAAAGCTGTCCCCCTCCTTGCCGGCGACAGCCTCCAGCAGGGCCTGTTTCTTCTGCATGCTCCGCGAGGACTCCAGCTCGTACATGGTGGTCAGGTTGAAGAGCACGCTCTCGTGCAGGTAGTGCCTGGGGTCCTGCTGGACCATGGCCTCCAGCTGCCGCAGGGAGTCCTTGAGCTTGCCCAGGTAGAGCAGACACACGGCAGCGTTGTTGTTGGCCTAGGGAGGAGCACACGCACAGGGTCGGCCCATGCAACCAGGACAGACGCCCGCCCGCTCCAGGCTGCGTGCTGGGCCCTGTGTTGGGGGTCTAGGGGGTGACGCAGAGCTGCCAGGCAAAGCCTAGATGGCCCTGTTGGGTCACTTCCCCCAAGGGCCACGGCCGCTGCCTGGCGCCAGTGGACTGCAGAGAGCGCAGGCCCCCACTGAGATGTGTGTGGGTGCATGTTTCTAGCGTCTGTGAAAGGCAGAGGGCGGAGGATCCTGCGGCTTGGGGATCTTACCACTGCGTTTGTTGGATCCATCCTTAAGATCTCTGTGAAGAACCTGTGGGCTTCTGCAAAGTTATTCTGCCCGAGGTGAAGGAACGCTCTGGAACACAAGCGACGGTGGCAGTCAGTGGGGAAAGCCCAGGAGCTGCTGTCCCCCAACAAAACCCACAGGGGCTCTGGACACCACACAGACCCAATGTGTGACCCTGCGTGGCCTGGGGTTCCCGATCTCCAGGCAGAGGCAGTGAACTGCATTTTGCATTCAGGCTCGCAAATTAAAGCCACTCTAGTTTTACTTTTTTTATTTTTTAGATGGAGTTTCGCTCTTGTTGCCTAGGCTGGAGTGCAGTGGCGCGATCTCGGCTCACTACAACCTCCGCTTCCCAGGTTCAAGCGAGTCTCCTGCCTCAGTCTCCCAAGTAGCTGGGATTACAGGCGCCCGCCACCATGCCTAGCTAATTTTTTTGTATTTTTAGTAGAGATAGGGTTTCACCATGTTGGCCAGGCTGGTCTCGAACACCTGACCTCAAGTGATCCACCCGCCTCGGCCTCCCAAAGTGCTGGGATTACAGGTGTGAGCCACTGTGCCCGGCCAAGCCACTCTAGGTTTTATTAGTTGAGAATAGAGTAACTTCACCTAAATGACTTCCTGCTAAAAACGGACACCTGCTTCATTTACGCTTTCTGATCCTGGGTGCAGGCTTTGTCTGAGGCGCGTTTCCTCCTCACAAACGTGCACTCGCACAATGCCATGCGTTCTACCACAGAACACCAGAGCACAGGGTCCAGAACGGCTGCTATGCCGGCAACGGTGACCTTTACGCACACATATGCTGAAAACGGGGGCAATACAAGCGTTACTCTGAAGAACAAGGGGGAAATGTCTCCTTAAAAATCAGCTTCTGTGACTAAAAGAACATCACTGCAATTCCAGAAAATACCCGTGTACTTCTTGGGTCTCAGTTCTGAGAGACACAGGGCAAGAGGAGGCACAGAAAGAAGCGCTTTCTCTGGGGGGCTTTCCCACTCAGTAAGTGGGGCTTAAACGCCTCTGGGAATTTTGAGAAAACATATATTTAGTTTTAAAATATTTACCTAGGCTGGGCGCGGTGGCTCAAGCCTGTAATCCCAGCACTTTGGGAGGCCGAGGCGGGTGGATCACGAGGTCAGGAGATCGAGACCATCCTGGCTA